ACTGTAAGGGCCGGCCTGGCCCTCTGTCACTGCTGAGCGGCCGCTGTGTCAGTGTGGCTTTATAGGTGAGTGGAAGTATGATTTAGGCTGGATAATGTGTCACTGACTCTCCATAACTGTAAGGTCCAGCCTCACTGGCATGTTACTTTGGCCCAAAGCATCTGCTAAATAAATGAACCACTGAACACATTTGTTGTTTTCCTGTATCTGACATTAATTTCAGGATGACTGACTATTCTTTCCTCATTTCAGGTTCTTTCATTGAGTTTTCAGCAAATTATTCCCCATCTCCAGCTGAGAAAGCAATACTTGGGGGCATTTTTGGTGAAATCGTATTTATCTTCATCGTTTTTCTTTTATTGCGAAGTAAGTAAGTTTCTAAGTATTAGATCAGAATTATCCATAAAGGTATTTCTTTTATACATTTTAGAAATAAATGTATGACAATTTACATATTTTAAATTTCTATAATAGCTGGATTGTTCACTGTTAATCTGTATCCATGGGGCATCGCAGTGGCTCAGTGGTCAGCACTGCTGCCTGACACCTCCAGGCTGCTGGTTTGAGTCCCCCTCCTCTGTGTCTGTGTGCAGTCTGCATGTGCTCCCCATGTCATGTGGGTTTCAGTCCCCCTCCTCTGTGTCTGTGTGCAGTCTGCATGTGCTCCCCATGTCATATGGGTTTCAGTTCCCCCTCCTCTCAGGTTAATTGGTGTCTATAAATTGCCCATAGCATGTGACTCTGTGTGTATGGCATCACACCCAAGGTGTCCCTCTGCCATGTCCCTTGTGCTGCTTAGAATAGGCTCCAAGCCCCCTTTCACTCTGTCCAGGATTGGTGAATAGATATGTATATATTATAGGATGTGTGATATAATTTCTTCCCCAAACATCCTTGTTACCTTTTCATAACCCACTTAAATCAGCAGAGTGTGATGTCCTTTTAGTACCATAGTGTCCAACATGAGATTCAAACCCAGAACCCCATGGTGACGGGGCTGTGCAGTGCAGGGTTTTAAACACAGGGCCCCTGAACACATCTGTTTGTCTTCTTATGTGCCTGGCATGAATTTCATGGTAACTGACTGACTGTCTTCTCATCTCCTTTCAGTTGTTGCCTTTGCGTCTTTGACAAAAGTTTTCTTAAATCTTGGCTGTGTAATAGTAATAAGCGCAGTCCTGTATCCGCTCATCGTAGTTTCATCTATTAGTAAGTCTCTTTATAAATGTCTATGTGGGCTGTGTGTTTGCACTGGTTTCCTCCCTGTACTCTGATCCCCCCCCTATCACAAACACCCATGTAGATAAAATGGGATCTATAATGACCCTCCCCCCTGCCCCGTGACCTACTGGCCCCCCACCAGGGCGTATCCTGCCCCGTGACAGACAGGCACCCCATTAGGGTGTACCCTCCCCCCTGCCCTGTGTCTGCTGGCTCACCTCAGCACTGCACTCCATGAGTGATTGTGGGAGATGGATGGATGTGTAGATGGATAAGTGTCTTTGTTATTTTTGATGTCTGTTTAGGGCACTGGGGTTTCAGAAATATGCCACATGGATGGTTACAGTATGTATTTCTTTCAGTTAATAAGTACATTATGGGATGTATGATATAACGTCCAGCTCATACATCTGTGTTACTTTTCCATGCTCCATGTTAATCGGCTTCACATCCTGAGCTGTTTCTTCAGTACCTCACTGTCCATCATGGGATTCAAACCCAGAACTCCCAGGTGACAGAGCTGTGCAGTGCAGGGTTTTAAACACAGGACCACAGAGTGTGTCTGTGTTTGCTTTCTGTCTGACACGGATTTCATGGTGACTGACTCTATTCTTATATTTTAGTTGCTGTCAGTGTTTTTCTGGCAAAAAATTACTCAGGTGCAAATTGGAATGAACTTGGAACATTAGTAACAATGTTACTGATTCCCATCTTCATGGTTTTATTGCCACGTAAGTATGTTTTCAGATTTTGTAAATGTATTTATTTTTAAATTCTTTTAGATATTGTAACTTCAGGGATATCAGAGCAGAATTAGGTGTGGAGGTATTTATTTTCTACATTGTAGTCAAACACACAAACGTTGCACTTGAGCATTTGCATGGCAGTCATACTGAAAGTGTATTTTCCACAGTTAATGTGTACAGAGTCCCCGAGTTAAGAAAGTCTGACATATGAATGACTTGTACACGAATGGTCTCCTATGAAGCCTATTCCATTACAAATGTGGGTTAAATACAATGGTTCGTGATAATGTACAGTATATCACTGCTTTGGGACAGAGATGTTCACAAGTCACAAAATTAGAGTCAAGTCTCCATCATGGTTCCAGTTTGACATCACTATTTATAAAAAAATGTAACTGCATATTTGTTTTTTTCTATTAGTAACTGATGTGACTAAATGGGAATCATCACTTGAATAGTTAAAAAAAAAACTCTGTCATAGTTCCTTAGGCTTATATACACTTTCAGAGTAATCACTATTTCAAATGGCTTTGAATAAAACTTTTGTAAGAACCTTTATACTTTTGTAATGCAGATTTAAAAACTATTTCTTTCTCAAAAATAACATTATGATGAAGACATCCCATTAGCAGAACAGGTAAACTTTAATTAGTGCAAACAGTTACAAACACAGCCCAAAGAGGGTCCAAACTTGGCAACAACAATCAACTATATACAAACATCCACGCACACACACACACATACACACACAGTCGGGTATACCTATCCTGGGGACAGCTCATTCACTTCTATGGGAAAAATGCTAACGCTAACTATGACAACCTTAACCCCTACCCAGCCCTAACCATAACCATAAGTAACCAAACAAAATACAAGAGTTTTTGCATTTTTAGTCTTTTCATAGCAGTCATCGATTTTTATAAAATACAGTTTTAAAATAAAATGGATATTTATCATGTTATGGGGACATTGTGTCCCCATAAGGATTAGGTATACTCACTCACTCACTCACACTCACACACACACACACACACACACACAGAGACACACACACCTTTTCCCTATATGATTAACAAAAGAAAAGAAGCTTCCTGTGTATCAGGCAGCCTGACCAAACCATGCCGGACTCCGCCCCCAACTACTTTAGAGTGATGTGATTGGCTAATGAATGAGTATAACCCAGACCCCTGTTGGGCTGCCCAAGAAAATGCAAAAGTAAATTGCAATTTTCATTTTTACACATCGTTCTAAAGCAAAAACTCCAATTAATGAATAAAACTGATTTGTCTGTGTCAAAAACATAAGGAGTTGCAAGTCGAGTCAGTAGTCAATTTAAGAGCGACTCCAGTGTGACTCCAGTCCGATTCGCAAACTCGAGTCCCCGTCTCTGCTTTGTGATGCTGATGAAAACATTGTGTGGCTTAAGGTACAATACAGTGTCCTGTGCAGTGTTATTATTACTGTATGGTTATTTTTATTAAGTTCTGTATTATTTTTCTGACTTACCTGCAAATTCAGCTTAATGACAGACTTAGGGATCGGATCTCACCGTAACCTGGGCACTGCCTGTACACAGTTAGGGTACTGTGACACAATACCCAACGGAAACACCCCCATTTAACCTTTCATAACCAAATTAAACCTGCCATTCAAACTGGGATACTCCTTTAGTAACAACATGGGATTCAAACCCAGAACCTCCAGGTGACAGGGCTGTGCAGTGCAGGGTCTCAAACACAGGAGGACTGAACACACCTGTATGTTACTCTGTGTCTGAGATGAGTTACATGGCAACTGACTTTAATCTTCCCCCATTTCAGTTGGTTTCAGTGTGTTTAGGGTAATACACTCCCTGCGGACAACTGGGAAAGTACGACTTAGACAAATCCTTCTAATCTGGGCAGATTTTACGTGTAAGTACTGAGGCTGGGATCATACTGAACTAACACACAGAGGCTGGGGGGGGTGAGCGGGCATCGGCCCTGAGAGGCTGGGATCACACTGAACTAACAGACAGAGGCTGGGGGGGTGAGCGAGCATCGGCCCTGAGAGGCCGCATTTACTGGGGGAACAAAATCTCTGAACCGGGAAGGTAACTGTGGGCGTCTCTCAGAGGAAAACAAAAGATCGTAAGAAAACTAAACTAAACTAAACTGAAAGATCACAGGACACCC